CTCCTAGTCAGCTGAGTGTGTGCTGACCTGCCGCTCACTAGAACAGAAGCTGCCTAAGAGTGGAACTTTGTCTACTGTGTTCATGGCTGATTCCCCAATGCAATACTTGGAGCTCAATAAACATTTGTTGAAAAACTGCCCTGGGTATCACGGCAGATGCTCCAGGCAGGGTCTCGCCCTCAGAGTTTGTAGCCCTCCGGGAGAATCCTCTGGTTACAGAGGAGGTCACAGTGAGGCTGGAGGAACCAAGGGACAAGAGAGTGTCCCCTGCACCAGCCTCCACATACTTGCTCTGCTCAGCTGTAAGAACAACAAGGTTTGGGAGACATCGTTCTCTAATGAGTTCAAGCAGGCTGGCTGCTTTTCGGAGAAAGAAATTCTCATCATTCAGGCTCATTTTCTGTACAGCCTCCTTCCTTCTTTCCCCCAAGCAACACAGGAAACATAACTTTGTTTCCTCTGCTGACAACTCTTCAGCTTGTCTATTTATTGAGGCTTCGTGTGTGGTTATCAAAATAGCTCTTGATAGTTTCAAAGTAAATCAAATGTTACCAATGCAAGTGCAGAGTGTTTAAGATCCTAAACTCAATTCCCTTAGGAGTCTCTTGCTTTTAATTACGAAAATTCAAGCATGCCCAGAAGTAAAATCCACTGATGATTGCCCATCACCAGATTCAGCCGTTCACAAGGTTTTGTCTTTTTTGCTTTATCCCCTTTTTCAATCCTTCTTTTTCTGTCTTTGCCAGAATGTTTCTTTTTTTAAATTTTTAATTGTGGTACAACCATATAACATAAAATGCATCATCTTTACCATTTTTAAGCGTACAGTTGAGTAGAATTAATTGTACTCACATTGTCCTGCAACTGATGTCCATAAATCATCCATTTTGCAAATCTGAAACTCTATAGCCATTAAACACGATCTCTGCATTTTCCCCTTCCCTCAGCCCCTGGCAACCACTATTCTTCTCTCTTTCTTTTATTCCTTTCCCTCTTTCTTTCTTTCTTTTTTTTTTTTTTTCTTTTTCTCTTTTTCTTTTTTTTTGAGACAGTGTCTTACTCTGTCACCCAGCTTACAGTGCAGTGGCACAATCATGGCTCGCTGCAGCCTCAGATAAATACACTGGTCTCAAACTCCTGAGCTCAAGCAATCCTCCTGCCTCAGCCTCCCAAAGTCCTGGGATTACAGGTGCGCCACTGTACCCAGCCCTACTTTTTGTTTCTATAAATTTGACTACTTTAAATTTGAGTACTTTAAATGCCCTCATAGAAGTGGAAGCACACAACATTTGTCTTTTGTGAACAGCCAGTTTCACTTAGCACACGCTCCTTAAGATTCATCCATCATGTAACATGTGATAGGATTAGCTTCCTTTTGAAGGCTGAATGAGATCCCATTGTATGTATCAGGACTACGTTTTGTTTATCCATTCGTCCATCCAAATGCATTTGGGTTGCTTCCACCTCTTAGCTATTGCTAATTCTGCGATGAACATGGTTGTGTAAATGTATCTAAAGTGTCTGCTTTCAATATTTGGGGTATATACCCAGAGGTGGGATTGCTGGATCATATGGTAGTTCTGTTTTCACTTTTTTGAGAAACCACTGTACTGTTTTGCATAGCAGCTGTATGTACCATGTTACCACCGACAGTGCACAATCGTTTCAGCTTTTCTCAGCCTCGCCATCATTTGTTATTTTGTTGTTGTAATTATTTATTTTTGTAGTAGCCATCCTAAAGGATGTGAGATCAGATCTCATCTCATTGTGGTTTGCATTTGCATTTCTCCAATGATTAGTGATATTGAGCATCTTTTTCATTTGCTTATTGACCATTTGTATATTATCCTTAGAAAAATATCTGTTCAAGTCCTTTGTCTATTTTTAATCAGATTATTTGTTTGTTTTGTGTTTTTTTTGTTGTTGAGT